GCCTGGCTCTCTCGGGTCCCCCCTGCCCCCTGGCCCCCTTCCCTGGACCCTCAGAGCTCTTGGGTGGCAGGGTTTTCTAGAGTCGGGACACCAAGGCCAGGAAGTAGTTTGATTCCTGCCCGCACAGGCTCGGCGGATTTGCACCCAAAGGCTGGGCCTGGAGCGCAGGGGGGCATTGCCTTTTATACATTTTGAGCTTTTTTGCCCCCCCATAAGACTTACATATTAGTCACACACAGGCTAATTGGGTGTCTTACAACTCAAGGTTGCAGTGGAGTTACATATGCGCACTACAGATCGGGGCCTACATTCTTTTTTTTTTTTGAGTTGGAGTCTCACTCGGTCGCCCAGACTGGAGTGCAGTGGCCGCTCCCGGCCCCCGCAGCCTCGACCTGCGGGGCTCCAGCGATCCTTCCGCCTCAGCCTTCCAAGTAGCTGGAACTATAGGCGCGCGCTACCACGCCCGGCTAATTTTTTGATTTATTGTAGAGATGATGTCTCGGCAAGTTGCCCCGGCGGGTCTTGAACCTGCGGGCTCAAGCAATCCACTTACCTCAGCCTCCCAAAGGCGCGGGATTACAGGCTGAGTCACCGAGCCCGGCTGGGGCCTACATTCTAACATAAATCTTTTAAGAAAGTTTTTATCTTATGGTACTAGAAGAACTCTTTCATTATTCTGGGAAGGCTTTTATCTCACTGTGCTAAGAGGGCCCCTTCTCTATCCTGGGAAGGCCTTCATCTCATTAGGCTTTGGGGAAAGGGCTCCCTGCCTCACTTGTGCTGGGGATCCTGACTCCTCCCGGCCAGGGCCATGGGGGCCACTGAACCTCTTTAGGCTTATCTGCAAACTGGTGCTGGGGTGATTAAATGAAGCAGTGCACATGGGCCGGCCTGGCTTAGGGCACACAGCTAGTGAGTGCTCAAATAAATGTTTACTCCCGAGCTCCCCGGCACTTTTTCCTGGAGCTGGGTTTCAGGCACTTGCCAGATTGAGGTGCCTCCCTTCTCTGGGATGTGCCTAATTTTGGTTCTTTTAAAGTAAACAGTGAGAT